TTTCGCAGACGCTTAGAGCGACGCAGCCTCGATTCAGCCTGTCATAAAATGGCGGCTGCACGCAAAGGCTTGTGGTTAGTGTAGTTGTTCCAGGAAATGGAGCTCTGTTTACATCCACTTTCCAGCCCCGAGGGGAATTATGGGAAATTCCCAGCTCTGGTTCATTTTCCAAACTGCATTATTTCTGCAGTGCAGATCACAGCAAAACTGAATAAAGCTGCATTTTTGTACAATCTTATTTGGAAATACAATAAACTGCTTTTGTTCTTTGTAGGCTCTGGTTTTTTCAAATTTTATTGTATTTGGAAAGGTAGATAACAGATAGTTTTATTTATAATAGATTGTTGTTGTTATTATTATTATTATTATTATTATATTAATCTTTTATAAATAAAACATATGATGTGCAAATTGGTGGTTAATAATTGATTAGCTAAGTTCGGGTTATAAATTATATGCAGATCACAGTCCATAAGGAAAATAAACATGATTGATAAGATCGTGATACAGAATAATATTGATGATAATAGAATACAGAACAATATTGAGAAAAAAAAGGGATAGAAGGTACTTAAGGAAAAGATCTTGGAATAGAGGGGAAGAAGTACTATGTGTGTACTTGTATTTGTGTTTTTTAATATATTCGTTATTATGTCTATGTCTTGTTACGTATTGTCAGTGTTGTTAGTTTTAAATGTTTAAAATTAAAAAAAATTGTTTAAAAATTCCAGATGACCCAAAGGCTGTGGAAACTTTGCAATCTTTTCTGATGACTTTCCATTTTCAGGCTAGAAGATTTGATGATTTGCATCTCAACACATCTCAAAGACACTCAAGGGAGGTTGTTTTGGTTCAACCAAGGCAGAGAATCCTGCTGCTTTCCAGATGTTGGACTGCAAGTCCCAATAGCTTCAGTGGTATAGCTGGTGGTGAAGGATGCTGGGAGTTATAGCATCATTTCTACAGTTTTCTGAGGATTTTTCAGGCTATGTGGCCGCATTCTGGAAGAATTTATTCCTGACGTTTCGCCTGTATCTGTGCCTGGCATCTTCAGAGGTTCACTTCCATGCCACCAACCTCTGAAGATGCCAGCTACAGATGCAGATGAAACATCAGGAGTAAATTCTTCCAAAGTGCGGCCGCATAACCCGAAAAAATCCACAGAAAACTATGAATGCCGGCTGTGAAAGCCTTTGACTTCACATCATTTCTACCTTGGGCTTCCATCTGCAGAGTTGGATGGTTCACTAAAGTTAAGCCTGGAGTCTGAGCCAAGTAGAGCATCAACAGATCACAAAACTAATTTGTTGTTATTGTTGTGTTCTTTCAAGTCAATTCTGACTTATTGCAACCCTAAGGTGAATCTATCACAAGATTTTTGGGGTAAGATTCAGAGGGAGTTTGGCTTTTTTTTTTGCCTTCTTCAGAGGCTATAAATGCTATAAATTTGGGGACTGAAAGAGCATTTTGTTCTCTTGGTACTGGCAGAGCAGTGGTCACCTTTTGTTCTGTCCCTCCCAACAAAACCTCTGTTTTTAACTTGTTAAATTGTTTAGTGTAGTATTAGCCTTTCCAAATTAATAATTCTTTTAAGTTGATCATTTTATTTTATTGTACGCCACCCTGAGATCTTTATACAGTGGGCCCTTGATATCCGCTGGGGTTTGGCTTCCAAGATCCAAAATCTGTGGATGCTCAAGTCCCATTAAATACAATGGCATACTAAAATGGTGCCCCTTATATAAAACGGCAAAAATTAAAGTGTGCTCTTTGGAATTTATGTATATTTTAAAATATTTTCAGACTGCACATGGTTGAATTTGTGGCTGAAGAATCCATGGATGTGGAAGACCACTTGTATAGAGGGCTAGACAGGGACCGTTGGAGGGGATGTTATCCTGGCATTTCTGATGCTACAGGTTTTGTGCAATACATATGATGCTGCAGGCTTTGTGCAGTGACTTGGATTCTTTCCCCCTTTCTCCCCCCCTCCAAGATGTTCTGAACTGAAAAGTAAAGTCCTGTGTTTGTGAAACCTTTCTGGTTTTGCCCATTTGACCTGCATATCAGGTGGACTTTTTTTCTTCTTCAACATGAATGCTTGCTTGCTTTGAACTGGTTCACCAGCAGACTTATTGTGTAATGGGGTGCAGCAAATATTGGGTTACAACCGCTCCTCCGCTAAGGATTAGAAGGGGAGGAGGTAATTAGTTAATTGTGTTCTCTTTTTTCCTGCTTTCTTTTGTGTATCTTCTGGATCTTTAATCCTGAAACCCGATGGTTGGATCAGACATTCTCCTGACAACGCTGCACAAACCCGAGAAATGACAGAAGCAACCGAGGCTGTTAGGAAATATGATTCAGGATGACAAGGACAACATGGGAAGGGAGGAGAAGAGCATTAAAAAGAAAGGGGGCACTGGAAGGTAGAAGGGGATAGAGAGGAGCCAAGCCAAGCAATACAGCTTGGGAATCTCTGGGGTGCAATCTAGGTGCAGATCTAAGAAAGATGTGTAAGAAACTTATTTGGGTCTATGGACCGTAATAAATAATGACTGACTGTAAGAAATTTGCTCTTTTCTGCTTTATTTGGCAGAGAAAGGGTCATAAAACAAGGCTTGTGGATGAAGGGTACTATTCCGCTCTCAAAGAGACCCAATGTGGCATAATGGTTTGAGTGCTGGACCAGAACACTGGATTTGAATCTCCTCTCGGCCACAGAATCCGACTGGGTGACCTTGGGCAAGTCATACATTCTTAGCCTCAAAACTCCTCTGAACAAATCTTGCCAAGAAAACCCTGAGATGGGATTGCCATCAGTCAGAAATGGCTTAATGATGGGATCAGCGCGACGTCATGTGAAAGTCTTTCCCGCGATCATGGTCAATTGCAGTTTAATGATGGGACACTGACAGGATAAGCGCGATGTTGTATGAAAATCTTCTCGCGATCATGCCATAAGAACGGGAAAAGGATGGGACAAGGACGTTTCGTCCTCCGTGTGATAATCTCCAATGTCTGTAGCTGGATCTTGCCAGTGGTCTGGAAGCCATATCCCTATGAGGAGCGGTTTAGGAAGCTGGGTATGTTTAGCCTGGAAAGAGATAGTTAAGGGTTAGTTAAAGTACATCTTCAGATAGTTAAGGGGTGACATGATAGCCTTGCCATATTTGAAAGATTGCCATATGGTAGAAGGAACAAGCTTATTTACTGCTGCTCTAGAGATCAAGACATGGAGCAATGGATGCAAACTACAGGAAGTGAAATTCCACCTAAACTTTAGGAAGAACTTCCCGACAGTAAGAGCTCTTCAACAGTGGAAGATGCTGCTGCCTTGGAGAGTGGTGGAGTCTCCTCCTTTGGTGGGTTTTAAACAGAGAGTGGATGCCCATCTGCTGGGAGTGTTTGGATTGCATGGCAGGGGTTTCAACTACGTAGATGGCCCTTGTGGACTCTTCCAACTTTTTGGCTTCAGACCTGTTTACCTGTTAGAATCATTTGTGTTTGACTGTGACTTGCCTTTGGCTGCCCTCTGCTTGGACCCAGCCAGGTTAAGATTTCCGCTTTTGAGACTTTAATAGAGCCTGTCTTATTCAGAGTAGGAGACAGCAATATCTCTTGTTTTAGAAATGAAGGAGCAAGGAGGGAGGGAGACCAACCTTGTTGCTAGAGACTTTTCGAACCTGGAGGATCAAGTGTCACACATGAAGTATACACACATACACACAGGTAAGAGGAAACCTTTCCATCCAGTTGTTGCTCTCCCATCCCTAACCCTCACAGGTACGCCTCTCATCAGGTGACCTCATTCCTTCCCAACAGGACCATGGATTGGTTTGGGCTAAATCCCTCAAAATCTCCCTGTGTCTCTGCCGGCTGAGCCCCCGGCTGTTAAATAGATGGTGCTGGTGATGCCAGCGATTGCTTCCACACCTCGCCTCATTGCCTGAAACCAGCGCCTTCACCTGCAGAGTTACCTTCAGCCTTCGAGAAGGATGGCCAGCTTCGATAGTCCCACTGGGCTTCTTCCCATGAGGACCATTTTCAACAGTCAAGGGGCCACCACCATCCTGGCAACCCAGAAGCAGTCCTCAGATCCCCCGGAGCAAAGGGACCTGCCTGCGCCACAGAGGACCAAACCTTCTCCTCATCGTGTGGCTGACTTCTCCATCCGTTCCATCCTGGCCTTGGATGGTTCTGGAGAAGAAAGAAGGAATGGCCAAGAGTCACCAAGAGGCATCATAGAGTGCAGTGGGACTCCTCAAGGCTGCACATGGATCAATGGCACTCGCTTCAAGCCCCCTTATGTGCCAAGTAAGGCTTTCTCCGGCATACCTTCTCTCCAACACCTCCTTTGCTTGCTTCATGGCCACTGGTTGTTGTATGCCTTCAAGTCATTTCCAGTTTGTGGTGACCCTAAAGCAAACCTATCATGGGGTTTTCTTGGCAAGGTTTCTTCAGAGGAGGTTTGCCATTGCCTTCCTCCAAGGCTGAGACAGTGGGACTTGCCTAGTGTGGGGTTCCATGGTTGAATGGGGATTATTTGAACCCTGATCCAATATAAAACCCCAACACCGCACACTGGCTGCTAAAACAAGAAGCCCTGTTCTTGTTAACATTCAACTTTTCTTCTTCTTTTCCCCAGAGACGAAGCAGGCAGGCAGCCCTTGCCTGGCATCCCGCAGCCCTCGGGTCCCCTTCTCTGCCACCCAGCTGGGCATCCTGGAGAACAGCTTCCAACAAACCCATTATCTTAGTACCGGGCAGGTGAGGGATTTGGCACTGCTGTTGGGACTCACGGAGAACCGGGTAAGAGAGGGTTGGGCTCTCCATTTTATTCCAGGTGAAGGGGCTGGGTTGTGGGGGTGCTGATGGGTTGAGCCCATGTGGAGTAGTGGTTTGAGCATTGGACTATGACTCTGGAGACCATATGGTTTGACTGGGTGACCATGGGCAAGTCACACTTGGCCTCAGAGGTTGGCAGAGGATGGTGGGTTTCATGACCAAGTGGGGAATTGAACCATGGTCCCTAGAGTTGTAGTCTAACTCTCAAACCGCTGTGTCACATTGGATGCTCTCTTAAAGTGCTCTCTTTTGATGGGGTTTGAATACTGTCCCTTCCTAACACTTTAGCAAGAAGTGGAAGCCAGCAGGTCTTGCATGTAGTCTCAAAATTATTCCTGTGGGGCTTTGGGGGGAGGTATAGCTACCGAGACGGGGGCAAAATGAGAGCCTTGCCTCCTAAATAAGAATTCGGTCCCCCACATTATTCTGAGGTTTTCCTTCACTCTCCTAATTTCTAGCACTGCAACAAGACTCTCAAAATCATCCACACCAAAAACTCTTCTATTTGCTGTGTTTGCATTCCCTCGGTTGCTTTGCCTGCCCCTTTTCCTGGGATGATATCATCATTTTTCTAAATGCTCGACTGAAGCTGTAAGTGACTGCAAAGCAACAAATTTAGGGACTGATGAATGTGAACTTCATTGAAATAATTTCATTTGAATAAGAATTCTTATTTAGTAGGGGCAATGCTCTCAATTTGCCCCAGTAGCTGTATCCCCGAGAATACATCAACAGATTTTTTCCCCTTTTCTGATACTTTTTAAAAAAATCCTTAGCTAAGGAATAGTCAACATGAAAGTGTATTATGCAAATTGCTGCCAATTGTCACACATTCAACACTTAATTGTCTTCACTGTCCTGCACAAAATTACATGTATTTGCTCTCCCTCTGCCAAAAATGCACAGCCATATGAATCCACGTGAAGCAGACAGCCACATGTTCAATAATGCACATCCCCATGGATACTCTGGAAAAATCACAAATCCTTTTCCAGCTGAGTTTATGGAGGGTTTCTTTGGGGGGGGGGAGGCTGCAAAAAGCCGGATTTCCTCCAAATCACATGTGGCCAGATCACAGTTATTCAGTTCAAATGAGGATTATTTTAATTGTGTAGACAAGCATTTAGGAAAGTTATATTTTTTTTGGACGACACTTCTTAGAACTCTTCCTTGGGAGATGTTGTTCAAATAGTAACTTTCCTAAACATTGGTATTTTTAAAAGAAAGTAGTAGTGAGTTTTCCAAATAGGTGGAGTTCAGACAAGCTCCTAACTTCCTTTTCTTCTTGCTCTCTTTTTGCTCCTAGGTAAAAATTTGGTTCCAAAATCGGCGCGCACGTGAACGGCGGGACTTCCTAAAGCAGCATCCAAATGCCAGTGTTGGCATGAAGGGCAATCCACTGAAGGGCCAGTCCCATTTAGGGTGGCATTAATACTAAGCTGAGGCAACAGGGGTGAGGTTGCCTAAGTTTCCCCTCTCAAACTGTTATTTCACTGTGAAGTCGAAGGCTTTCACGACCAGCATCTATAGGTATTTGCAGGTTTCTTGGGCTGTGAGGCCATGTTCTAGAAGAATGTATTGCTGATGTTTTGCCTGCATCTGTGGCTGGCATCTTCAGAGAATGGTGGCATGGAGGTGTGTGGGGTATATATACTGTGTGACCCTTGGTTGAGAGGATTAGCATGTAAATCTATTTTTCTATTGAGGCAAGGCCTCAGGGTGGAAGGATATGCAGGGAGAATTAATGTCTATTGTTGTGTTGCATTTACCTGGGCAAAATAATCCTCCCCGCACACCTCCATGCCACCATTCTCTAAAGATGCCAGCCACAGATGCAGGTGAAACTTCAGCAATACATTCTTCTAGAACACAGCCTCACAGCCTGAAAAGCCCACCAAAAAAAAAAAAACCCAAAAACTATTATTTCACTCTTCTTGCCCCAGTTCCTAAACTCTGTGACTCTGAGGGGTTATCCAGACGGTGAAAATAAACCTGGTAGGATGTGGGTTGAATCTTTGTTGTTCACATGCATTTCGGATGCACTTCAGTAACTTTTGGGGGGGGAGGGCTGCTAAAAAAAGCAAGCACTTAACCTGGGGTAATCAATCTTGGAATTCCCCCCCCCCAAAGTTTTTTAAAAAGATTTGTATTGTCAGCTGTATGAATAACCGTTGCGAATAGGCCTGGGATAAACTGGGATAAAATTCTGCATGCCTTGAACGTGTTTTGAATACATCTGCATCACCAACTTCATCTTTATTCGCAGCGCTGACATGTGTGAGCAACAGAACATGTAGAGATATGCAGAGATGCAGTTCCAATTAAAAAATAGTGTGAACAAGAAACCGGAATGCGTGAGCGAGATTATTCACATATTCACACTAAAGAAACCCAATGTCTGGACAACCCATGAGAGATCTAGTACTGTAGTCTGGGGAGCCAGCAAATGAATTTCCATTTATTTTTTCCCCCAGCCTGCATTCATAATCTATCAAATTCTTCCCTTGTTTCCCTTCATGGGACCGGTCAAATTGTGTTTTGCGTCTCACAGCAATCTGCCCTGGCTGAGAGCCTGTCTGTCACCACAACCATTGCCCAATGTGTGTGCCAATACATTTGCAATAAAAAGTTATCTATCCTTTATGATGGAGTTCAGTCTTGATGCTGTTGTTCCTGAAGAAGTTTCCTGAAGAACAGCTTTTCGTAGGAGTTTCTCGCACAGGGGACAATTGGAAGTATAAATGGTGATTAACTCATGATATAATCCCACAATTGCGCAAATGGTTTTCACACGGCGTCGTGTTCAAAGTGATATTATCCCGGGAATAGCCTGTGATTATTGCGCATTGGTTTTCAGACGAAGTTGAGGTGAAACGTAATTAAAGTGCCATTAACCCATGAATAACCAGGCAAGAAACAGCAGCAAATCATTTGCGGGATTTTCCCGTGAATGCCTTTTTGCTGTTTATTGCCTGGTTATTCCCTGGTTATTCCCAGGATAATGGCTCTTGTGTTAATTTCATTTTAATCATGCTTTAATGTCAATTGCGTGATTTTTATGAGTTAATTGCAGTTTAAACTCCTAATTTCCTCCCTGCATCTTAAAACCTATAAGTAAATTTATGGATATATATTCATTCATTTCAGGCTTTTGGTATAACCAAAGCTGACCTTGCTTAGCTTCCAAGATCAGACAAGATCTGGTGTATTTAGGATATTTAGACCCTGATTTCCATCATACATATCAAGAATTTTGACTGTCCCTTATTGCTATTTTGAAAACTTGGTTTTAACTCAAATTTCCATTTAACTCAAATTTACATTAGGTGTGTATTTGTTCATCCAATTGATGTTACTGTACTGTCCCCTTGTGGCCTGTGGTTAAACAGTATTCATCTCTTTTCCAAAATCATTTTTGGGGATGGAAAGATGTAACCAATTCTAGATGAACAACATTTGGAGGTCTTGCAAACTCGGGGAAACTGTTTTGTATTTTTAGATTGTACACCTTTGACAGGTTTTTATTCTATTTTATGCTTTGATTGTCTCTTTGTACAGCACTGTGTACATTGACAGCGCTTTAGAAATAAACTTTAATAATAATAATGATAATAATAAAATATCAATAGTTCCCCGCTATGGGGAAATTGTCACATGGTTTTCTCCAAACTGACAATCAAACACAACCATATAGTGTAGTTTATATTTTTATTTTATTATTTTTATTTATTCCATTTTGATGCTGCCCCAGGAAAGGACCTAAGGCGGCTCAAAAATTATTAAAAAACAACAACAACTTTACAATAAAAATTTTAAAACAATTAAAAGCATCTAGGAAAAATGGTATAAAATTCTCTATATGAACAACAACAGCAACATGGGTTTTGTGTTAGCAGCACCACTATTATTTTTTGCTTTAACTGTATGTATGTATGTAGCATATTTTGTGCTTTGCTAGCCATTTTTGATAACATGGTGTAGGGGTTTGAGCATTGGACTGTACCTCTGGGTTCGAATCACCAGTCGACTATGAAAATCCAAGGGTGAGCTTGGGCAAGTCACACTCTCTCAGCCTCAGAGGATGGCAATGACAAACTCCCTCTGAAGAAACTTGCCAAGAAAACCCTGTGATAAGTTCAACTTAGTATTGCCATAAGTCAGAAATAACTTGAAGGCACATAACGACAACAAACAAACAACAAAGCCTTTTTTTTTTTTTTGGTAGCTGTTTTTTGTAAGGCACACAGAGGCTATCATAAAAGATGGAATAGAAATGTTCAAGATCAGCCTTCTGTTAGAGATTGTCCTGGAGATGATGGGAATTGTAGTCCAACACACCTGGAAGGTGTGGATTATGGAAGACTTGAGCCTTTTGATTGCTCTTTGATATACTAGATTATGGAAGACTTGAGCCCTTTGATTGCTATTCTTATGAGAATTTGGATGGTGATTTGTGATATTAGGATAAATTCACAAGTACAACATTCTGAACACGAAAGGTTGCTTTAAGGATGTCAGTAGAGGGTCTACATTGCTTTATCCAAAATTTCCTGAGGTCCACCAGAGCCAAAATCAAAATAATATGTGTGACGAAGTCTCTCTCTGTGTGTCTCTGATGGCTCAAGGAACAAAGTCAATTTAGATGTCATACCCAGAGTTTGGAAAAATTACTCTTTGGATTACAGGCTATTCAGGCTGCGAGATTCTGGGAGTTGTAGTTCCAAATATAACTTTCCCAAGCACCGGTTGCATCCCATGAACCAGATGCTGGAATGTCGTGCCTGTCTTCTACAGTATTTATAAAGAGTTTTCTCTGCATTTTTTTGATTGTGTGGCTGCGTATTTAATTTTTGTGTGCAACTTTGCAGATCTGAAAAGAATCCCTGAAAGTGACTTTTACACATATACACAAAATTAAAACCAGTCAAAATACAATGCAGCTATCCCTCAGTTAACAAAGAAGATGTGCTCCTGGGTTTTAACTTCTTTAACAGAAACTTTGGTACCAAAGGTAAAAATGACATGGAAAGAATAGGGACACCACAAGAAAGAAATTCAACATGTCTTTTTTTTTTTATTTGACACTAACATTCTGCAAACATTTTAGTCAACATTAACATTATGCAGATGTGAAATGAAACAGCCAGGTCAGGTAAGCCTCGCATAAGTACCCAAAAAGCATTTTGAATCTTCTAGAGACCACTTGAAAGTGTCTGCTAAAATGCAT